CGAGCTTTTTATGCACCGTTCGAGTTTCCGGGCCCTTCTAGGCATTATCGTTTAGATTAAAGATAGTTCGTGCATAGTCGTCGTATATTCGTCAGTTTGTACATTCTTGTGTTTTCGAGACCTCATCTCATCGTTGGAGAAGTCTGAATGGCACAGCAAATAGGTTTTGATTTTTCGGGATGACAATTTTGCATTATGATTGGAAAACGTTTTTTAGTACGGAGAAAACAAGTGGAGCATGGCAATTGAAGTAAAACAGAACCCTATGTTTACTTTGACACATGAAACGCGCACATGAGAGAAACACTTCAAAGACACGAACATATCGCCACAATCACATCAACAGTTCTCGCCGTCCACCTCCTAATAACTCAATGGTTGTGCAAGAATTTGTTTGTCTGTTTAGGGCTGGAGAGAGTTCGTTAATTAATATACTTTCCCAAATGATTAGGCTTGTGCCATGACATGTTCCATTTCCCACGCATTTACTAGGTAAACACGTCATTGCCATGATTTCGCCATGCATCCCGATGGATCGCTGACCGACTAACTCACTCTTAAACCCACCGACCCCTGTTCTGGTGTATAACAGTCAGCGTGCATTAGGCACACGCTCTTTGGCCGACGACATCGATCGGGGCGTCTTGACCTACGCGAACAAAAATTATTATCCTCGAAACAAAGTCTGTGGTCACCTGGTGTTCCCCAAAGTCCGCAACGTGCATTACGGTGGGTGTCGTTCCGGCACCATTTTCGCCGCCCCGGCGTGTCCCCCTGCGCGTGGCGGGACTTCCCCGTGGCCGTGCCCGCCCGGTCGTCCGCGCCCCGCTCGGCCCCGACTGGCCCCGCCCGCCGTCGGACAGTGAAATTGGCGTGATTGATGACCCGCCTGTGCGGCACACGCGTGTGAGTGGTGGTACCGCCGCAGGGGCCGGGCATGCCGAGTCGTTTTCACCCGGGGCCAGCGAGCCAGACGCGCCGCTGGCCCGGCCACGATCGCTGGGAAGGGCGGGTCGTAACCGGAGACCTCACTCGCGGTTCGTCCGTACGCAGCCGAGAGGCTTCACTGATCTCGAGTTGGGCACTCTCTCTCTTCTCGGGGTAAATGGAGGGCGGGTCAGATCCATTAGAGACTCGCTGGAGTGCATTAAAGACAGACTCACTCTGGTCTGCGAGACTCACTCACTCATTTAAGAAAAATCTCAGGATATTTCCTTCACCAACTTTTATTGGGAGCGTCATATCTAATTAGTTCAGCATGAAACATTTCGATGGGATTTAGAGCGAACTTTTTCGGCGGGATGTGTATTATTCAGGCTGTTCTAATATTTGCTGTGTGAATATTTTTTTAAATCCTTAAGATCTAGATTTTCAGGGATTTCCTTTAGCAAATCCAGGAACCCTGTGGGGTCGGGATAACTGCAGAAAACTCAAATAACCAGTTAAAGATCGGGTCTCTTTGTGTGCTTAAGTCTGGCTGCTTCCACTGCTATGGGGCAACGCCAGCACCACAGCGCTACCTGCAGGTGACGCTGACACCTGACCAGTAATACCCTAACTGTATTGGAACCTGGCCAGTCTCCTCCCAGGAAAATGATGAACTGTGTGAGGTTTCTCTGCCGATGATCGCCGCGTGGCAACGCAAAGGTAGTGCGGCTTTGTCTGCCGCCATCGCCGTGTGTCACGGGCTGAAGTTGTCCCATTCCTCGCGCAGCGGGTGCTGCTGGCGTAACACAAACCCGCTCACCTCCATCCGCACGGCATCTGCGCTTTGACCGCAGTTGGCTTTTCGGTCTAGCTGTAAGCGGAGGCGAAGTCGGCTAGTGCGAACATCGAACTACGCATCACAGCGTCACGGTCCGGACGCTGTACCGACGATGGACTCCTGCTGGCTGGGTTTGTTGGTGGCATAGACATCCGCAGATGGATTGGTGCCAGATTTCGCTGGCATCGGCTGGTCGGCTGGCAAACACATGTCTGTTGTGGTGTCCTTTTGCCGGCGGCAGCCTTTTGGGGCGCGCATATGGCGCAGTCATCTTGTCGATGAATATAAGGAATGTAGCAAGCAATCAATGATTTAAAAGAAGCTGGGAATATCACCCAAAGATCTTTAACAGGAGGAGCAGTATGACATTAAGAAAGTTGGAACGATGACATGGTATCTGCATTGTCTTCAAGTTTGAAGCTGCTTGGTGGCATGCGATAAACGAACTCTTAGGAGTAATTAACGTAACCCCGAACAGAGGCTTCTCTTACATTGCTAAAAAAGCAGAAACTCGAGCTCCTCATTCTGGTCTCATTTAGTCGATTGAATTCATTAATAACCCGTCAGCTCATCGATGAAGTTCTCTCTCATTTGAAAAATTTCACAGTTTAGGTCTCATCATTATTTTGAACCTTTGGTCATTCTTGTTTGCCAACTATGAATGTGCTTGAGATGACTTCTGCAAGCTAGGTCGGCCACGTGGCACACTTCAATACTGTTTGATCTGAACTAATTTGCGAGCGCTCTAAAAAACGTAATCCGTGAAAAACGGCTGCAACACCAGACATCAATGATTCGGAGCAATTTCATGTCATTGGGAGGGGCTGGGGAGGGGGGGGAGACTTAAGCAGATATTCCAGCAGGTGATAATGGAAGGCTTGGTGTTAGTGTCGAGTGTTAGTGCCGGGGCGGACTTGTCTTGACTTGCCTCCACGGACCACGAACGGTAACCACAAGACGTCTCCGGGTCCGAGGCGGTATCTCCAGCCGCTTCGAATGTGCTACGAATGAGCCAGATCAGAGGTAAAACTCAGCGCTGGACGGAAGCACTAGCACGTGCGGGCACATGTGACAAGCCACTCACACCCCAACATACACACTCCTCCCACACACACACACAGACACACGCGCACATACGCGCGCACGTACGTGTAGTGCTCAATGTATGGGAAACGCATGCCATGCCATGCCATGCCATGCCATGAATTCATGCAGCCTTCTTTCTCGTTGTGTAAGTGCCTGTGCATTTGTGCTGTGTACGTATGAACGTACCTGCCAATCATTGCCTCTGTGTACCAGTGTATCGCATTGATCTCATTGTAGTAGCGATGCTATGCGTGCTTTTATAGCAGAATGCTCCAATGCATGCGGTTGTTTAGTAACATTTGGTGAAACAGATTTTCGATGAGGAATGAACAGGCCTTCTGATGGTTGTTTTGCTTGGGCGGCTGATTTTGCATCGTAATGCCATGACACCAACTGCCCTTATTTACGGATTTTAATTCCCGATATTGCTTCCCTGGGGCACCTCATGCATGGTGTATTATGAACCATCTGATGCCGGCGGGTCATATCCCACATGCTTTGGAGCTGCTGGGATCGATTGGGGGCTACCGAACGTCCGGCGCTCGGGCGATCCCTGCTGGATATGGTCCAACGTGGCCATCCGGTGTCATGAGTTGAAAGCCGGACTGATTGCTACCTGTTGGGACGAGGGAAATACCCTTGGTGGTTCCACCTAGCGGTAATAATTAAAACTAGTAGTTGATGAACTGTCGGTCATTCAGCGATCATCACACGTTGTGACCGCTGAATGATGTTATCACTGGATGTGGTAAATTCATGGGTTTTCAAAAAGTGCTTCAAAAGGTCTTACGGCAGCGGGTTATCACAGGAAACTTGTAAGGAGCTTTTACTGGGGATGAAAGCTTGGCAACGGGGGAGTGGATGATTTTTTTCGGTCTTGATCCCGGAAATACTTTTAAGCCGAATAAATAGCATGACTACTATGCTATGTTTAAGCACTGCTGCTTTCTCTTCGTGCATGATTTCACGTGGTCGACTCAGCCATGCTTTTTGGCATACGTATTATCTAATTTCCCAAAAAAGGATGCGTCTCAGCATGATTTCCAATGGGGAGGCAAAATTTCACAATTGGGAAGGCATTTTGAGTCAGAGTTGACATCTGAAGCTAACATGCTTAAATATGGACAGGCCCCAGGCTGATCAGCGTTTTGAGGTTGACTGCACGGCTTGTAGTCCCCCAAATATCAAACGTGTTGGGATTTCGCCGCCTTCGGTTCAAGAGATGAGCTATAATAGCAGCATGTCAGACATATACAAATTGAGAAGCTTCGAACACTTCTTACCAAAAGCATGTGACCGAAACCCTAAGACAGGAATGTCTTCTAAAAAACGAAGTCGCTGAATGTCATTCCTCCCTTCAGATGTTTTCGCCCGAGCCTTACCCCCCGCCGTCGGCGGGCGGCCACCGCTCTGGCGTGGCCCGCCCTGCCTGGCCCGTCATCGGCGGCCACCGCTCTGGCCTGGCCCGTCATCGGCGGCCACCGCTCTGGCCTCGCCCGTCATCGGCGGCCACCGCCCTGGCCTGGCCCGTCATCGGCGGGCACCACCCGGACTGGCTGCGAACTCAGCGTTGCCGTATGTTTGTGAATCGGCACCACCACTCAAATAAAGCAAGGCCCCCAGTCGCACCAGTCCGGCTCTGTTGTGACATACTGTAGCAAGTTATCCTAATTCGGCTATTTATCGTGTCCTTGAGTGCGTTTTCAGTTGAGGACGTTTATCGTACCCTTCTTGCTGATGGAGATAAATGAAGTGCTCTTGGGCCTTGTCCGACCTTTAGGTCTGACCTGATGTTGGCGTATTCTTTACAAGGTGAAGCAGGTTGAAACAATACCGATGTTTGACACCTGGGCCAATTTTCAACCACCAAGCACGCAGAATGCAGCATACTGACGGACGAAAAGCCCTCTCGGCATCATCGGACTGCTGTGAACTAAGGCTACTTCCTGATAACGAATTGGGCGGCCTAGGCAGCAATGGTACTGGCATTTACCATTAACTGTAGGACTCAACTTGGCTTCTCATAAAAGTTTGTGATGACAAAGTTGTTCTTTCAGAATTAGCTTGGCGTGTGACGTCATAAGTTCCTTGAAGTAACCAAAACCAGTGGGTTTTGGTCCGCGAAACTCTATCAATATGAGTAGGCGGAGTCGGTATATTAGTTCCACAGACAGGGAGTCCCCATCCAGTCATTTACAGAGGCTAGATGCGCAGTCAGTGCCAAGCTATCGTCGCGATATAACGTACTAAGGTTGATCAAATTAACAACTGCACCGCTGCTTTTTACGGCACCCTGCCAGGCGCCATGAGCCTTGCCAATATTAAACAAATGACTGATGCATGCACGCAAAGCATGCGGCATTATATTCGCGTGAAAAATGTATAACGGAATAATACATACAAAGCACATGCCAATATATTCATGGTCCACACCACAAATATAAAACAGCTAGACGCAGAACCGGTCTTTACGAACCTTCGCGAACGAAAACGTATTAACGGACAGAGGTCAAACCGATCAATGTTGGAATTATAAGACAGGAGACACCGTAGGCACCGACTCAGTCACATTTGTGAAAAGATCACAGCGCGAGTTGTGTAGTCATTTACAACAATGCAACATTTTAAAACACAAGTTTACTTCTCCGAACCCACACACAACCGCTACACAGCGTACTAAGTGATGGCGTCATGGCGGCTCACAACAGAGACACAGGGAAGACATCTCAGACCGTCAGGTACGTCGGGGATGTGTGGTTCATCATTTCGTTGATGCTCCACCAAATAACTATAGCGTCTGCCTTGCAGCAGCGTCCGTAGAACAACGCTTTTACTTCCAGTGACTTAAAACAGACGTTGAACACAACGCGAGGAGGTACGGCGTGGAGCGCGCTAGCTCCACGTCACTCCGAGACGCCGGCTCGCCACCGCCAGGGCGGACGTCCGCCCGGCAGTCCTGGAGGATACCAGCTGTGCGCTCCCGCAGCGGGCTCGAGCCAGCTGGTCCCGCGGAGGTGCCGCGTCTGTGGGTGCCGCCGAGGACGGCCGTTCGGCGGCGTGCACGGCCGTGTCACTGGCGCGGCCCCGGCAGCCGGCAGAGGGCGTTGTGCACGGGCAGCGAGACGGCTCCAGCCACCGCCACGCCCATCGAGTCGGCCAGCGACACCGTGCCCAGGATAAACTCGCGCTCGCGGCTGAGGAACTGCCGGCCACAGGCGACGTTCGGTCAACGGTGGCCAAGAGACCTCGCGGCACTCGCCGACCGGCGGCCGCGCCACTCTCATTGTGGTTCGCTTGGAATCCGATATGCATGAATACACATCATATATATATATATATATATATATATATATATATATATATATATGACGCACACCAGTTGGTGTCTTGTTCATATGATAAAACTGGTTTCCATACGAACAGAATAGGATTAATTTGATTCCTCACATATAGGGAATTGCCAACAAAAATTCGATCAAACACGTTGTGCGAATGGGACCAGACTATTCGGTGCAATGAGCACAGTGTGAGTGCGGCATACACGTACAGCGCCCGAGCGACGGTCGCCGTGTTCGACTGAAGCGAAGACGCCCAGTCAACCACTCCCGGGTTTAACGGACAACTCCTGTGTCGGTCCGTCGTGTCAGTAGTACCGAAGTCTCGAGTCTGAACATGCCAAACACAGCCACAAAGCCAAACACAAAGTACGTGTAGGCCACAAAGCGGCAAAACGCCTGGCGCCCTCCCACCTGAGCTGCGTGGACGGCAGGGACGGTTCGGAGAAGCCTGCAGAGAGTGGCGCCATCCAGACCCCGTCATAATGTCCAGTGATGTCCTGGGCCTCCTTCGCCTCCCCCCCCCCCCCCCCCTCCCCCTACCTCGCCTTGCCAGTGACCACGGACAGCGACGTGCCGGACGAGGGGTGGCGCAGGGTCTCGCCCACACACCTGGTGGTAGACGGCGTAGAAGGTGTTGACGTAGGCGGCGCCGCCGAGCAGGCCCTCCCACAGCACGAGCAGCGCCACCAGCCAGAAACTGGGCACGAAGAGGAAGTACGCCTCGTAGAAGAAGAACGTCGCGTTGACGCACTGAAGCGGGAGTGGTTACAGTGAGAGCCATGTGTTCCGATCACGAGGAGGGGTGTTACGAGGAATTACATGAGAGTGACCTCCGTTCAAACTACCCGTGGTGAAGGTAGCTAGAACAAGCAACACTGTTGCCATGCCTCACGTGCCCTAGTCTGTCAGCACGCAAGGCATCTGAGCTGGCCGTTCGATGATTAAGGTGTGGGTCGTCTCTTCTGTCTCCGAAATCAGCATGCCCCATTTCTCATAACGGACTAATCACAAGCCAGTTAGTTTAACCACGCAACGGACGGTATACTGGCGGACCGCCCCTTTCTCGAATGTAAAACTGCTCACAACCAGCATCGGAGGGACCAGGGAAACGTGCTCCAAGGACAGGGAGCAGAACAATGGGTCATGCGTCAGTGAACAGCGGGTGAGCATACGCCCGGCCGGCCACGAGCGCGAGGGGCGCGTACCTGCAGCACGGTCAGGACCCATATCCGGCGGATGTGGAAGAGGTTGACGGACGAGCGCGAGACGAACACGCCGATCTGGTATATCACCTGCAGCCAGCGGTACTGTTCGCTGTGCGACAGCCAGATATCTGCCGGACGGAGGCGCCGCGTCACGACGATCGGATCATCTGCGGCGCTCCCCGCCACACGCCGCCCAAGGCGGCCCGCACACAGTGGCACGGAACGCAGCGACGCCCGCCGCATCCAGCGCTGGAAATACGGAGATGACGCTGCGGCGGGCTTCTATTATTCTATCAGCTGACCACGGCGATGATCAAATAGCAGAGACGCTGAAAGATCATCCGTATCTCGGACGGTGATACCCGCGCCACCGAAGCCCGCGCGTGCTGTTAAACACCTGCATCCAAGGCTAGGAACTGCCGGTAAAATGTAGATTAAGAGTTCAGAGTCCTTGTGCTCAGTTATCAACCTTCAGTATCCCAGCACGTACGGGTTAAATGACGTCATAAGGCAATTATTGGTTATATTAACAGCACTTGAGGTTTTAAGCTGTGATTATGGTCGCGAGTCAACTTGCTTACCTGAAGGAGTATATGAAATTTCAACTGTCCGCCCAGATATACCCATTGTGTGATACCCCCATTGTGATCGTGCTCTGGGACAACTGTACCCAGGCAGTCTCGACCATGTCCAGCTAAGGGCTATGAAAGCCATGGTCCGTGCATCAGGGCGTCCCGCCGGGGGTCGCAAACCTGCGCCGTATCAGGTCAACACACGGCTGGAGCCGCCGCAGAGTTTTGGGACATGGAGCGAAACGCTTCCGTACGCTCATGAGGGGTAAAAGAGTGCGACACTTTTTGTGCATTTCACTCATTGTAAGATCAGACGCATACAATTTGATCAGCAACACCAGCTTTCTAGAAATTCTGCTGACTAGCTCAAAATTTCGATTCGAAGTAGCCGCGCCTGCGGAAGAAATCTCATTGGACTCCCTGCTCACCATTATAAGAGTGATACACTTCATTTGTCTTGTTCAAAGTTGTGTGTTCTGTAATGTTTACAACACACTAGTCTGTCAAAAGATTTGCGTGCAAAATGCTACGAAAGCTTGGAACACTCTGTTAAGACGGGAAAACATTAACATGAGGCTATTATTTCGCGAATTCAACGACACGTTAATTGTCATGGTGCTATGGCTTTGCTTTCTCCCCCATGACATTTTCTACAATGTCTTTTTTCGAGGTGCACCTTGGCTTTGGGAAACGGATTATCACATGGTCCATAGTAGTTCACTGGTTCAAATTTCAACCAACGCGCTTCTTTTGCCAATCACAAAAGTTCATTTATAGTGACGCTATTCAGTAACAGCTGACAGCGGACCGCCAACGGATTCCACCGTCGTCATGACGACGGCTGTCGCGACAGCGCGAAGAAGCGTAGTGCTGTTACAAAGTGAGCGTAATTTGGGTTTGTCTTGATGGTGCTGCAGCGACACTACACAATGCTATTATTACACGTACTGGCTCTGAGGTTTCAATAGAGTGTGGTTTTGAAATATGTCCCGAAGGTAAGACACTCCCTTTAATCGTCTGACCTTACTGTAATGTTGGTAACTTTGCTTGATCGGTCTCGCTCATTGCTAAATACGGAAGTCAACTTAATGATTTCCCTAGAGTCACCCTGAGCTTTTATTGAATACTGGCGAGTTATTACCATGGAGTCTAGGTATGCCCAGTTCCCTTTTGCACAGTCAAGAATGTCTCGCTTTAACGACGGGAGACCAATTAATCATTTACCACCCCTGAGGACACACTAACATGCAACAGGGTTATGCGAATCCCGACCCAGAACCTGCAATGGTCTGCAACGAACGGAATGTGAACGCTTCCTTCAGACGGCCAGTCCGCACGCGCCACGATGACGTCACATCCCTGCAGAGAGCACACCGTCCGAGGCCGCGCGCCGGGCGAGCACACGTACCCCGGAACCAGATGAGCTCTACCAGGCCCTGGTTGATGAAGTATTCGGCCGTGTAGACCAGGCCTAGCGGCACCATGAACACGGGCAGCTGGCGGAGCAGCGCCAGCTTCTCGCGGGTGCGTAGCGGGGCCGGCGGCGGCCTGGCGTCAGGCTGCGGCGCCGGACGACAGCAGACGGCGTGCGACGGCGGGTGGCGCAGCAGCACCACATATCTGGCAGGTGCGGAGCTTGAGGTCAGCCACACTCGAAGTCAGGACAGGACGGGACAGGCGGGGTCTGGCGGTCAGTACCGGGCGGAGCAGGCGGGGTCAGGTGGTCAGGACAGAACGGGGCAGGCGGGCTATGGCGGCCAGTACAGGGTGGGGCAGGCGAGGTATGGCAGTCAGTACCGGGCGGGGCCGACGGGGTCTGGCGGTCAGTACAGGGCGGAGCAGGCGGGGCCTGGCGACCAGGACAGGACAGGGCAGGCGGGCTATAGCAATCCGTACAGGGCGAGGCCGACGGGGTCTGGCGGTCAGTACAGGGCGGAGTAGGCGGGGTCTGGCGGTCAGTACAGGGCGGGGCCGACGGGGTCTGGCGGTCAGTACAAGGTGGGGCAGGCGGCCGGCATCTCGACGACATTGGCTCATCCCAGACAGAAGAACCCTGTCCACCGCTAAATATACCGGACGACGAGCGAACTGTTCCGATAATTTAAAACGGTCGGCAGATGCGTTGTTGGCGACCTATTACTAAGTGCACTGCTGTTCCGGCCGCGTATCTGTTATGAGCCATGCAGCTGATGAGGCTGCATGTATCACATAAAAAGCGCAGTTGTTGAGACACAAGACATCGCCACCATAAAACCAGATCGTCACCATGAACCCTGACTACCACTATGAACCCTGACCACCACCATGAACCCTGACCGCCACCTTAAACCCTGATCACCTCCACGAACCCTGACCACCACCATGAACCCTGACCACCACCATGGATCCGCAGGATGGGGGAGGGGGGCGCAGTCAGTACAGCCGGCAGACCGGCGCAGCGGCTCCTTGAGACATCAACACGACACACCGGGAGAAGGCGCCCCCCAGCGCCGACCGATCCGGCGCCAGGCCGCCGCGCCAGTCGGCCGGCGGCACCCGAGCGTGCTCACGTGAACACCATGACGGCCGGGCAGGTCAGCATGACGAAGAGCGTGGTGCGCGGCGAGAGGCCCACGCTGATGAGAGCCGCGTAGCTGAACGAGCCGAGCACGCCCGAGAAGCCCGTGCCGCTGGACCAGGTGGAGACCACGTCACTGCGGAACAGATGGCGCCAGGTCAGAGGCGGCGCGGCTCCTGAAGCCACTGAATGCCGCAGTCGGCCGTCAGCTGACCACTGGACCGGCCAGATGACGTCACCGGCGTCACTGGCCCGCATCGGTGGCTCGACTCCCCAATAAATACGAGGGACTGAACTAGTCCAAGGCATGCACATGCTATCATACAGATCAAATGCTACGCTTTGCTTTCCTTGTTACGGAAAAACGTCTTCAGCTCAAGGAAACATTTTGCCGTTCACCGGCGTCTGAAGACCACACGATGGGGTTAAGACTGGCGTAACAATACTGCTTAACGTAGGAGCTGATCTTACAAATGCATCCAATTAAAACGCTCGGATCAAATGTTTTAAAAAGAAAATAAAAGTGTATGTCTCGTCTAACACCTCACTGCAGCCTCACTGCAAACATGGGTGTGATATTCATTTGTCTGCATTACTAAACAGGGTGCGCGGCTGATTTTGTTCTGAACATCTGGAGCTGGAGCCACAGCTATTCTCACAGAGGAACAATGGAACTTCGAAACAGCTGGTGGAGCCCGGAACTAACCCACGACAGCAGCCTTTTTAATTTCGACAAGAGTCGTAACTGCTCACAAGGGCAGACCGTCCCGGTAGGCCACCGCTCACCTATGGAAATGGGCTGTGTAGGCCAGGAAGGTGACCTCGCCTATGCCGCTGGAGAGCGATGCGCACACCACGCCCGTGTAGGCCATGACCGAGTCCACCGAAGCGGCCACCAGGACGAAGGACAAGGCGGAGAGCAGCACCGTCACCAGCACCCGCACACTGCAGACAAGGGGCATTGTACACACGAATAAAATACACGACAGAGGGCAACACTGACGCTGTCACGCGCATGCCGTAAACAGTGTACACCAATTACAAGGAAATACTACATACAGCACAAGGAAGGCTACAGCACTTTGTGATGCTATTAGTGGAAACCCGCACACATCGGCCTGACGGGAATGCACGGTCCCTCCACTCCACAGACGCTATTTTCCATCCAGCACCTCAAATGTGGTCACTATCGACCCAGCGGCAAGTTGGGGCAGGAACATGTTTTCCACGATTCCGACAACACAAATCTTTGCCATAACCTGATGCTCCCACTGCTCACTCTGCTTGTCAGAGCACATAACGAGCACGAGCAGCCACGCGGCTAACCGGAACAAAACCTAGGCAAGGATTTCAGGAGTCATCTCCCAAACCGGGCACAATCCCGGTAGCCAGCGGCCGCCGGTTCGCACGCGCACTCACTGCGTGTTCACGTTAACGGCCGGCGAGACGGCCTTGGCGACCAGCGCAGGCAGGATGTCGGCCAGCAGGATGGCGCCCGTGGAGGTGGGGTTACAGTCACGACCTGTGTCATCCACCACACGCATCTGCAACGGCAGGCGTGCGCGGTGGGGGTTCGACGAGCCATCACCTCTCCGAAGCACGCCAGCCTGCCATGCGCTCCGTTCCATTCGAGTCGCCTGAATATTATGCGAATTTAGCGGCGTTGATCTGCCGGTTCAGTTCATCCAGCACGGCACCACGCTCAGAAAGAGCAACCATGGCCCATACAACACATTATCAGTGCAAAGCCACACGCTGCAGACGGAAAGCAAGCCACGGCAGCGCGCGACAACGCACCGCGGAACTGAGATTTCAGCCCGTGCGCCACGCATCGGGCGAACGTCAACACCATCCGTTTACGGGGTGACAACAGCCAGAGGATGCACACCGCCGCGGCCGGCACCGGGCACGGCGCCCCTCACCCACCGCATGGAAGCCGCCGTCCAGGATGTCGTGCGCGGCGCTCAGCATGATGACGTAGGCATAATTGTTGCAGAGTCCGAGCAGCCAGAAGGCGGCCAGGCTGCGCCAGCTGCGGACGGGCGTCGGCTCGTCCGAGGCCGGCCGGGACTCGTCCGCGGCCAGCACCAGCTCTGGGGACAGTGGCGGCGGATGACGGCAGGCCACAACGGTTGCTGGCAGCAGGTCACACGGGCTGAGCGGCAGCAGATCATACGGGCTCAGCGGCAACAAGTCACACGGACCCAGGGGCAGCAGGTCGCACAGGCCCAGCAGCAGCACGTCACATGGGCTGAGCGGCAGCAGGTCACACAGGCTGAGCGACAGCAGGTCGCACGGGCTCAGCGGCAGCAGGTCACACGGACTCATATCATCAGCATCGTGATCACATCAGCCGAGATGCAATGCAGCATCTATAACGAGGCACAGAAGCGAGGGAGGGGGAATTTGGTAAACCACAGGTGAAAGAAGCTTAGCACTTCACACATGCAGCATGTCTCAAACAAGCATGGAACACAGGGACGAGACGTTCACGGGTCACTGGGGGCACCAGTGCACGGCAAAACGTACGAGCCGCAGGCGGCGTGCGCGGACAGGCGTGGTCGGCGCGGCGCCGGGAGGCCCCGTACCCCTGCCGCTGAATGGGGGGGGGGGGGGGGGGCGCCAGCTGCGTGGCACCGCCAGGCACGGACACGATGTGGCGTCGACAGGCTGCGCCGGCACTCACCGGCCGCGCAGCCGCCGGCGCCCGGCATAGCCAGCACAGAGAGACCCCGCACACCACCGGCCTGCGCGGACGGCGGCCACACTTCCCACGCCGGGCAGAGTGCCACCCCCAGCCAGCTATCTATCAGTGCCACGCTATCTGCACAGAGGCGTGCAGGTTCGTGTCACGTGACTTCGGGTCCCGACAGTTTGTTTACCCTCTTCTGAGGAGCATGGTGACGAAGTGGCCAGACTTGAGTACTGCTGAAGAACTATTGGCATTGGGGCCTCTAGTTGAAATATGGTGGGTGTCAGCTATGGCGTTTTCTGTGAAAGACAGTATTATTTCATCAATTCATCAGAACTATTGCCTTAATTCAAGCAGATAAAAAATTCACATTTTCAGTTCAAGTGTGTCAGCGAGGCAGATTCTTCATAGTTTGTCAGAATGTGTGCTGCACTGTATGTACAGATGATATCAGCTGAACATTACGAGGTACTTCACTGGCGGGTAACTACCACACCTTTGTCAAATATCATACTGATAAATGCACTTTTTGATTTAACCTTCAACTTCTTGTTGAATGTGATGAGAATGGTTACAACTAAAACAAAAAATATGTTGTTCTGCTTGTCATTTGTCACATAACTTCTCTAGCACAACTGTTTACAACTTGTGGAAATTCTATGCCAGCCATAACTTTGCTCTAACATGCTGCACCATTTTTGATTGATTCTATTTAAAACATGTCAAAATAATTAGGAATGCTTCCCACTTTAGCACCTGCAGAATTTCCCAAATATACCACATCAAAGAGCCTCCCACAGATAAATGCAGCAGTCACAAAAGCCACATGTCCAATCTTATGCACACTTACATTACTTATTGATATCCTGCCAGCCCCAAAACATCAAAGCACTTTCAACATGGTAATCCATCTTTGGTAGCAGATCTCAGCACATCCTGGGATATGTAGCATCAAGCAACCAGAGCAGTCTTGATCCATCCCTGAAACTGGTGGGTTGATTGCACCAAATTGACATGCAGTGTGTAGTCCTGCCCTCTTTAAGCCACAAATGTCACATTGGATGAGTTTAAGGTCACTGATGATGTCATATGTGCAGGTGTCATGGGAAGGGGGATCTCCAGATGGGTTGATGCTCAGCCAGGCTGAGCATCAACACATCTGGATATCACTTGCTATCCAGAATATGTAACAGCAAGGCAGACAAAAAGACAGTGCAGGACTTAAAAGAATAAGCTGCAACATAATATAAGCCTTCTTAATTAAATGTGCATTTTTAGTGTGGTTAGCTCAATTAAAGCTTGGTTTAGACAATCTATCCTTTCATAAACATGGATGAAAAGAGCAAGCATTTGAAAACCATCAAAAGATGCAGAGTAATAGCCATATGTTGGATATATAATTGTGTACTGCTTGATTAACTCTTAATTTAATTATGAGCCCCACCCCCATCCAACCACACTGAGCCTGGTGACCTCCCAACAATGCTGGAGGCACTAATTCCCTGACTTTCTCCCATGATGGGGCATCATTTCATATACTCTCGGGGGGCCTAAGCCTCCAATGCTAATCCTTCCCCCCTTCCCCCCCCCCCCCCCCCCCCAGCTCCTCTCAGCCCCCATGATGCCTATGCGGAAAGAGGGAATAGTGGGCCAAATAAATGCAGAACACTTATTTTAGCCCTTAGCATAAGGGGCAATAGGTCCCTAAATGTGTCACTATAACTATCATGTCACTTTTGTACCAAATAGTATTGTATAGGTACCCAGTGTTGTGTTATGCAAACTCCTTCATATGTTAAGCCAGTCTGCAAATGTTTGACAGCTGTTTAAAATAATCATACCTGGATTGGAATAAGGAACAATTGACTGCAATATGTGGCAGCCTTAAAAAGTATACTGCAGTGGTTATACAATACTATCAGCAATAATGGGAGCTATCAGTGATCCCTTCCTAAGATGTACTAAGCTGTTTCCCTGTGAATCACTCCACATTTTTAGCTTTTACAGAAAGGCAGCTTGCACTAATTTTATAACAGGAAAACAATTTGAATGCATGGAACATTTTTTAATGTTTTTAAAATCCTGATGTCAAGAATTAACACAAGGGGAGAAAGCAGGTTTGTGGGAGGCTAGGTCAACTGTTCTGACTGACTTTCACTGTATGCCACTTTAAACAGAGGCATTTCCATGTATAAATGAAATGCATGTCACTGTGAACCTGTTTAGTTGAGAAATTGGTCACACTTCTTTAAGGAAGATATCATTCATTGCTCAGCATGAAAAGACCAGCAATACAACCCTTGCCAGTTAAAGCATCATTTGTCTTCTACCACAAATATAAGACAAAGTGAGAAGCAAGGAATAGCACAAAGCAGCAAAGCAAAAATTAGGGTAGAGTGGCGATGGCAAATAGCGCATCTAAACACCAACTATCATTGAAATACGTTCGCCAATACGTACGCTTATGTCCAGCTCGTACTCTAAGCCTTCAGCACCTAGCTGCAAAAAATGTTTTTCTTTTAGACGTACCGGCTCATGTGAGATGTTCGGCGCCTTAATCGTGCGTATCAAGATTCTAAAATATGAGTACTAATTAACCAACTGATTCCTCCAATCAGCCCCATCTTTTTCCTCAGCCCCACAGAGAAAATAGCCTTTCTGTCACTTTTGAGTTCTGTGCGTCATTATCGAAGCTGCTACCATATTAATTTTTCTCTCTACTTTTTTGGCCATTGCAGGTCCTTTTCCCCAACGAGCAAACGGGCAGTCAGCGGTCCGTTCATTAAACGTTCGTCCGAGATTTTGTGCTCATTGTGCTCAGGAGATAAAACTGCATCTGTATGCAAATTTTCGGGCCAATTTGAGGAGTCGGCTGAATCGTGAATATGAACCCGAATCTGAATGTTAATGAGGTGCCAACTTGATGAACGTGTTTGTCAAGCCCCGACAACGATACCAATGAACAGTTTGTTTCTTCCCAGATTTAGCTCACTCTGTTCTCGGAGTCAGACTGCAGGCCAGATATTTTGGGGGACTGGAGCCCCTGAATGAAAAGGAAACTGCACACCCGCCAAATGTCAGTCATTGTCAGGCATGTCTTCATAGCTAGGTACTGGTGTCAAGTGTGGCCCAGCACACACATGACAAAGATGCTCTTATGTTTCTGTATGCTCAAAACACAAAAATACACCATTGTGCTCAAATTGGAATCAGAAATACGTCTGTTTAAGTTTTTTGGCGCCGCAATGAACTTAATTGCATGTATAATGCTGCAAAGCTGAAAAGTGTAATTATCTTGAAAGTACGACATTGGAACTGCCATAATGGGCTCAATTGTTAAACCAACAGCTTAAAAACTAGCACCAGTCGCGAAATGCCATTGGGACCAAACCAATGGTGCTTTCTGCCAATTATGATTGCAAACGCGAGGGAGTTCGCATGCTTCGCCCATCAGTCCGCGTTAGAAAAACGGTGAATCAGGGCGAGGATTACGAGCCAATCTTTTGCTTTGATGAAAATCCATACAAGATTCGAGAACAACATGAACACGCACATGGTCCGCCGATGACGTCGGCAACGATCTTCTTGTATTAGGCTCACTTGCCGAGGACATATTTTCAGCACAGTCGCTCCAGCACTCGGGGTCGTATTGCTAACAGAACACATTTCACATGTGCCAGTTCTAGACCCTGAACAAACCGGCTGTCCGACGAAGCGTTAGTCGTGTAAAATCTCCCGTGCCAGGAATGCATGGAAGCAACCACAGTACCAGCAGCTTTCTATTGCAGAAGGGTAGAATAATGCGCGCTAATAGTGTCACTAGCAGTAATACGCTTTCACGTTACCCAGCGCTCGATGCCACAGTTACAGCTGAGCGGCAGATGATCTTCTGTTAAGGTACCATCCTGGCCGATTGTAATTATTGGTGGATACCCATGGTAAGGTTTGAGGCCCAGCCGCGGTAGAATTGAGTCCGGCGGCGTTTCAAAGCATCTGACTCCCCTCGACAGATCAGATGGAGTAGGTGATGACCTTCTTGTTTACGGCTGCCCTCCCCAGCCCCTCGCTGCGCCAGGCGGGGGAGCTGCACAGGCCGCCGCGCCCGGAACGGTCGCGTCGGTTCCCGTGCGTTGGCCAAACGCTATGAACAGCATGACTGCCCGCATGCACCAGGAATCTTTCTGGGGTTAAAGCTTTGTTTGTTGCCTGGTCAGCTCCTGTCGAATCGAAGCACTATGACCTAACATTCAATTATTTTCTAAATTGGAGACCGATTCGCGACAAATTTTTAGGAAACGCGGTCACTGGTTCTTTAAAGATTGATTAATCTTGCTGCCTTAAATATTTAATGTGATGTTAAGCAATCGTGCAAGAAGATAAACACGTCTTCTGTGTTCATTATACAGTTGAGCACCAAACATCTGAGGAGATAAACACATCATGCGTTCATATTCGTACCACTACATCTCGGCATATTTCCATTACATCTCAGCTTGTAGTGCTTCAATTTGATTCGGTATCTGCTGTTTTTTTCTTTGATTGCAAATGATTTGGGAATAAAATCCCGGAGATTAGAAGTTAAGTAATGGTGTCATTTTATTGAGAGCACATCAAGCAAGGCAAGAGTTAATAACACTTTCAAGTTTTTAAGGAAAAAATACGGAGCTACGTAAATCACGCTACCAGATTCGTGTGTTGGGTTGTGTTTTACGCCAGAGCCAACGACTGCTATATTGCCGAGACGCACTGCTAAAAATCACTTGATCAGTCCCAGTCCCATAGACTTAACATTGGCTTTGCTTTTTTAACGTGGAAACCTAATTTTCTGTGATGGTTAGCTGAATTTTGGAGCTAATACAAAAGTTTGACCATGGCTGTAAAGTTCGGTGCAAGTTGTTTATTCCCTATAAGCTATCTGTGGGTGCCGAAGGTGCATTGGTACACGCATCTGCTAAACTCCTGCACTTCTGGGGAAACCAGAGGTACGGGGCTCAGGTCCCTACGGTGCCCGCCTTTCCTGCCAGGGTAAGAGGCATGTGACGCCATATAGCCTCAGCAGCTAAGTGAGTCGTAAAGCAACAGTGACGACGACAACGACCTGTAACCTATCTTAATGTGCATACAAGTGTGATGGTTTTGTTTCCACTTGACTTCATAACTGTACCATTTTTGATAAACTTCTACACATTTCTAGCTTTACTGTCCAACTTTTATCAACGGCCAACTTTGTCAGCCTATGGATCAGTACGTTGCGAAAGAAACGGTAATTGGCAAACAGCGCTGAGCAGCGCGTCCAAATATGCGTTAAGTGCGTGACGACCAGTGGCAAGCGAAGCAACTTTTGAAGTTGCTTGCCTTTTTTGGTATAGTTCCCTTACAATGTTGCTTGTTGGTTAACTCGATTTTGAAACAAGATAAGCACTTGCGGTTCATCGTACCTAATAGGTGCAAGCAATATCTACGTTATGTAAGAACCACTAAATTGGCCTAAAATTGGTCCGTTTGTGGTGTCTTGCTAATTCGACCCAACTTAGCTTGAAACGTCGACGAACCAATAATTTTTTCGTAACCGACTTTCTGCAGCCCGTCAAAATTTGTGGCAAATAATTTACAGCAAGTGGAAATCAACGTATTTTTAAAGCTGCATGTACATTTTGATATCAAATGATAAGGTATTATTAAGCTCATAACTCGGTTCCCTTACAAGATGGAATGACGCAAACGGTTTCGATCAAAGGACAATACAAAGCGCTATCTTTTGTAGGAAATATGACTAGAAGTGTTAGATGACTCGCTTTATAATATTCAAACAACATATAAAACACGTTAAAGATACCTCCAAGGGCTCTGACTAATGTCAGAATGAGAAATCTATCACAACAAAGAATGTGAGTATATTTTCGTGCTTTACGTTTTGTCACACAATATCATGTCCGTGACATGGTCAGTACATTTCCGGAAACATAACTCTGTCTAATTCGATCTCCAGCGAACATTGGGACAATATTTGTTACTTAACCAATAGGCCGATTTCCAACTCATTTTTCGGAGATAGATCGCGCAAGAAACGGCACATCATTACACACTGAACATGCATGAGTGACCGGGATCGTAAAGTATTGTGTTTTATAATAACCGCTGGCGATAACCATGTTGTACGTGAATGTTGTGTTTTGTGGGGATTGTGGGTGTCTGATTTTGGGAACTAATACAAATGTGGTGATGTTATCCCTGTCGGCGGGGAATTTGTTCTCGCTCGGAAAGTCGATGCGATGGATTCATCCTCAATTCCAAATGCCCCTTCATGTTGCTTCCGATTAAGCTATGGTCATGAAATTTACCAAGGTACCAGTTCGATCCATTATGCTTACAAAGTTTAGGAGACGGAAGTCAGCAAGACGATTTGATGTGTTATCTCCGTTCATGCGTATATGGGTTACTGTTGGAACGTAAGTGATGAACCTTAATTTAAGTTAGTGCGAGAAGAATGCCGCCCAACGGATCTTCCGTGGTAAAACATAGATAATGCGAGACGTCAAAAAGGAGTCTGGAAATTTTAAACTTTTGAAATAATTCACTTTTGGATCGAGCTACAGCCAAAAGCTGACCTTTGTGTAGCGCTATTGGAAAACGTTTCCTTCATGTTTTACATACCTATGAAAGCCTGGAGGCTTATAACCGGCGCTCCGATATGCACATTATTGGCTGCAATGTACTCGGCCCAGTGTGGCGAGAGCGGCGCTTCATGTTCATATCATAGTATTGGAGGCGGGTGACCGATCCTTGATACTTACAAGCGCCAGACATGCACTGTGATCTAATTTCGTGAAGCTGAGACAGCGCAGCAAAGTAAAGTTGGCTTGTTTTGAGCATACCGAATCTTATAGGTCCACATACGGACGCAGGCAGGGAGGGGTGGAAGCAAACATAAGGGGCACGTAGCCGCTTCGGTCCCTCGGGATTCAGAGGTTCCCTCGGGATTGACAATCAAGGGCCCGATTACAGGGCTCGAGGGGCCGAATGGCTGGCCGGGGCTCTCCAGTCCGAAGGACCGGAGCCCTCTGATATCAATCAAAGGGTCTCTGGTGGTGAAAGAGGCCCATCTGAGAAAGACCTTCACTCGGTCGAGATCACCAACAATCGGCCCTTTGTCGGACTAAGGCCCATTTCCCAAGCACGGACAAGGTCTGGGCCCACGAATGCCATTCGGAGGACCTCGCAAGTCGCGTTGGTCGGGGTTCTCTTGTCGAACGCGATGTCCTCTGATCACAATGCATACATAAAAGGAAATTTTGTGCTGCTCGAGCCGGCCAGAGGCCCATTTGGTACCCATCACAGCCCACCACAGGGCATCTCCGTTGGTTCGGACCCTCTGAGAACGACAGAAGATTGATAGCAGTGAAAGGGTGTATAATGAGTCAACGAGACAGTTTAAGGTCTCCGATTCTCACAGGAGGCCTCAGTAACAACTGATAGCCCTCTAGCCCGCTTCGACCAATGGCTCGTTAAGTGGAACTGGGTTCCCTGTGCAAACTATTTGACCCTCTGCGCCCGTATGTGATCTTTTTGCACCAGTGAGAGCCACTGCGTCGATCCGGCTGCAGCTGCCCCGGTGAGAAGGCAGCCTGCGTCGGTAGGGG